ATATTACCTCTAAACTCCTTAAAGGGAGTTGTTGAGGGGATGTTATAGGGTACTATTATCAGGGTTATTAAAGGGGATACCAGGAGTCTAGACTATAGCTCAGATGCCAGCATGGTCGCTTGATGGTTCCAAGATACCGTTAGGTTTAGGGTATTCAGATCTTGAAGATGGCGTTTTTGAGCTTTCTGGGGCTTAGTAGGGCATGGGGGAATACATTCTACAGGGATTCTATTCCCTTATTCCTTACAAAGAACCTGTAAGTGAATGTGGAGTTAGGAGCTGTGGGTTTGGCAAATTAGCTGGTCAACGTTGAGGCTAGATTGAGAGCAAGCTGGGTGAGGGAGGGGACTTGCTTGGGTGATTTGTATTTCCAGGATCTGGGTGCCCAAGAACCCGCTAGAAGGTGCGAAGTTGTCCCGCTGCGTGCTTCTTTTCCTCTGCATCCCAGACTTAGTCGGCTAAAGCTCGCTGGTGATCAATGAAAGGCTCACAGAACTAGCATGACACACAAGGAGGATCTGCCTGCCACACAAAACATTGGATTTTCAATGTGTTGAATGTAGGCAAGACAGGGTGTGCGTGCGTGTGTCCACCTAAATAAGGTGACACTGACACTAGTTTTACCTGTGTAAGGTCAAGTGAAAAAAGAACCCAAACCTAAGACCTGATGCTTAAAGCAAACTCGAAGGCCTCTGTTCCAGAATAAGAACAAAACACACGAATTCCAGATATCCAAACTCCAAGATCTAAACGTCTGAAATCCCAAAATTCTAGGCCCCATGGTCCCCATGGTCATCCTGAAGTTAGCAGGCCTTCTAATTGCCTCTAATTCAACAGATGTACATGAGGGATTGTCAAAATTATGGTCCCTTTTTGGGTCCCTATTATAATACGGGGCCTAATACGGGGCCTAATTTAGGGGATCCAAAAAGGGACCATAATTTTGACAATCCCCCACATTAGTGCAACCATTGTTCTTTCGGATGAACGAGGCCTAGGATGCTTGACTCAAAATTCCGTGGACACCCAGAAACCCTGCAGACCTTACGTAATCCCATCCATATGAGCTATAGTCTAAACTCTTTAAAGGGGGTTATATAGGGGATTATATAGGGGATTACTATAAGGATTAATAAGGGGGATACTAGGAGTTTAGACAGTGGCTCATATGTATGGACTTGTGTACGATGAACGCCCATCTCGAGATATGCTTCAATCAGTATAGATGGGGCAGTTTGGGTTCCCATCATGATTCAGGCCTCTTTTTGAGATACCCCCCCATTTTGGAGAGGTCCGAGTCCGATGTCGCTTTTAAAGCTTTATAAAACCCCTATGACCCCAATATAACCCCAATATAACCGCAATATATCCCTGTTATTACTTTTATCCCAATATAAGAGCAACGTCTGCCCCAAAGGACACCAAGCCCGGTGAGCTCGGCGACCGGTGGAGCCGTTTCCTGAGGCAGGCTGCAAGGCTGAAAGTGTTGAACTATATTAGGGTGTATATTGAGGTTATATGGGGATAATGGAAAACAAAGTGGAAACTACTATATTATAGTAGGGTGTATATTGGGGTTATATGGGGATCATGGAAGAGAAAATGGATACTACAGAACATGAGGTTTAAGGCTCTGAGTTTAGGGTTTGGATTGGGTCTAGGGTTTAAGGTTTGGGGTGTCAAGTTTTAGGGTTTGGATTGGGTTTAGGGTTCTAAGGTTTGGGGTGTTAAGTTTTATGGTTTGGATTGGGTTTAGGGTTCTAAGGTTTGGGGTGTTAAGTTTTAGGGTTTGGATTGGGTTTAGGGATCTAAGGTTTGGGCTTTCAAAATCTAGGGTTTCCCATCAGTTTCGTAAAAGGATTCTTCACAGCAAAAGGTGGCACGAACAGGCCTTACTTAGCCCTCCGCTGCCCTTTGCCTGGTTCTCATTTAGGCACCCTCCCCTACACCCTACACTCCCCCAAACAAACATGGAAACCCATATAGCCCCCTTTTAAAGGGACTGTAGTCTGTATAGGGCCTTTTTTGGGTTTCCAGGTTAGTTTCCAGGAGGGTACCTGCTGCGAAAACCAGTTGATTGTTTTTTTGTTGCGTGGCAGGCTTCTCAAATAGCAGCCATTTCAATTTAAGTCATTTTAACGTCGGCCACAATCCTGGTCTGAGTGCATCGAGGAGCCATCGCGATCATGGTTGAACATCATATTGAGAGAAACGGTGGTAGGTAGATACGGCAGGTTGGCAAGCATTGGCCCTCAGGAGTAGGAGTAGCACTGGAAGTGGGAGTAGTTGTCCGGGACAACAGTGATGGGGTGGCACATAGGGTGTGCAAGATGATGTAAGTCTGAACGACAACAGCAGACGTTGCTGACTCAGGAGTCTGCTGATTTGTCAAAGTCTTGGGCCAGGGATGACATTTAAGATGAGCAACCGATGCCGAAAGGTTCTTCGTTCTTGAAGGCTGTAATGACATGTAGAAGCCAAAATTGGTACCAATAGTATGGTCCAGAACTCTGGCATAGGGTACCTGAAGTAGGCCTCTGATGTTGGTAATTATTCAGGCCCTACAATAAGCACGAAGGAGAATCTAAATGAACTGCGATTGCAGCTCCTTTCATAAGGGTTGCCGAGCTCAAAAGTCGTGAGCTTGTATCACAGCAACATAGCACCCCCTAACCCCTAAATCCTAATCCTAGATTCCTATAGCCTCAATCGCTAAACCCTAAACCCCCTAAACCCTAGATCCTACAGCCTCAACCCTAAACCGCATTGCTGCAGGCGCCTGAGCTGTTAGAATCGGGTCTTGGGGCTTCATATTGAAATAGCGGCATGATCCTTCTGATTACTCCAACGTTGGAGCCTGATTTTGTAGGGAAGCTATCCCCATGTGATAGCCCTATACATCTATCTTAGGGCTATATAGAGTATAGATATTTCTATAAACATGGCACACAGGAGGCAAATGAAACGCCAAGCTCTTTCTGGGCTCTACTTTACAGGAAGCAGCTCCTACATCTTCAGCTCTACCCCTAAACCAAGTCCCACTTCTCATGAAACACCGCTTGGGATCTGGGATCAGCGCGCCAGATTTCTAGTTCCAACCCCAAAATGCTTATCCCCCAAGCCCAAAACTCTAAACCCTAAAGTCCCCAAGCCCCGAAGCTGAAGTTGGTCCATGGGCAGGATCTCGACGCCTTTCATCACCAGGTTTTTCTACTCCGTCCTCAACAACCGATGCTGGGCGGTTTAGGGTTTAGGGGGGCTTTGGGAAGACTTTCCTGCGAGGTTTTGCATCTTAGATTGAGCCCCGGAGGATCCGGGGATGTCAGAGGTAAGGTTTTGGTGTTCCAAGGTTAAGGGGTCTTTGGGCCGGGAGGATTCTTAGGTTTTCCTTTTGGCTTTTATTCTTTTATCCCCTAGTCATTTTGACTTCAGGAATTTGGGAGGATGAGGAGGACTTGGCCAGACAAGCCGTCAACAACCTGCAGGCACACGCACTGCGGGAGGGTAGGGGTGGCGTGCAGTAATGTTGGGGGTGCTCACCATTATGGTGGTTTCCCGAAGTAGGGGGACCCCAATATACATCCCAATATACTAGAGCCCTTATTATAGGGACCCCCCAAAAGGTACCTCTAACTTTGGGAAACTACCTTATGGGGTTTCTTGTGGAGATCCTTAGGCTTCTGTTCTGTGAGCCTGATTTCTGGCATTCCCACCTGAAATGTAGTCAACACTTGGGGGGGTCATGGGGGCTTAGTAAGTAGGTTAATCACTAGGATAACTAGGGTTACTATATGGGTTATAGGGGTTAGTAACCCACTTACGAAGTCCGCCTGACCCTCCAAGCACTCTCCACATGAAGCAATATCGGGACCAGCTTGATGATTTATCAAAAGCTCAGATTCCCACCCGTATAACTTACCGGGGGTTAGTAGGGAATAATGGAATACACTCCCTCAAGTATACCTGCAGATCCTAGTTGACTATGATTATGGTACTGAGTTGTAGGAATTTGGTATAAAGCTGATATTAGCTATATTCAACTGGATCTCATGGTCTGCATTATCCGTACTGGCCCACAGTAAGATAGTTGACTGATCTCATCAGATCAAAGCCGCCTCCAAAGCTTGCAGCGCTCAACCCCACAAGTCCGAGGCCTAAGCTTCTATACCTAAACTCAAAACCCTTAAACCCTAAACCCTTAACCCTAAACTTTAAACCCTAAACCCTCAACCCTGAACCCTAAACCCGAGACCAAGCGTGAACCTGCATGAGATAGGTGCCTGGATCCTTGTGGATCAGTTCAAGAGGGTTTAAGGCCCAAATCATAAGCCCCTTAAGCCATGAACCTGGACGCGGTTTAGGGTATAGGGTGTGGGTTTAGGGTATAGGGTTCAGGGTTTAGGGTTTAGGGTTGAGGGTTTAGGGTTCAATGAACCTCAGGCTTAAATCCTACACCTTGAAAGCTGAATCTGGAATGAAGCCTCGGACCCTAAGTTAAACCCAAAAGCATGCAACCCGAACGGGTGGTTGTCAAAATTAGGCCTAAATAATAACCTGTATTATATCAGGTTATATTGGGATACTGGAAAAGAAAATGGAAACTACCATATTATAATGGGATTTAGGGGCCTAAATAATATTGGTAGGTGGTTGTCGAAATGATGGTCCTTTTTTTTGGGATCCCTATTAGAATACGGCACCTAACATATAGGGTAATCAAAAAAGGGGTCATCATTTTGACCCTAAACCCTAAACCCTAAACCCTGAACCCTAAACCCAAAAAACATTGCAAGCCCACAGCTCGACTGCCAGGAGCTAGGCCCGACCTTCGTAAAGCTCGGGCAAGTCTTGTCCATTCGTCCAGATGTTTTGCCGGAGAAAACCATGAAAGAGCTGTCTCGTTTACAGGACTGAGATGGGGGTCTAGACGCAAGGTAGACATGGCACGTCAACATTTTTCAGGACTTGTGTCTCCGACCCACCACATGCGGTTTGGTATATAAAATGCAAAAGATTCATGTGGGTACCCTGGTGAGACAGAATACTTAAGCGCTTTTATGCACCTGCAAAGTTTAGCGGAGATATTCGAGTTTTTCTTTCGCCAGCTGCAGTCCACATACCTCTCCCCCGGGCAAAGGAGGGTCCGTGAGGAGGACATCTACTTGATAAGACTATTATGATAATCAAGGATCCACTTCAAGATGTACTCAGCACAGTCCACAGCACATTCCTCAGCAAAACCCCATGTTGTCTTCTTTGGAAGGATATTCGTTGCAAGTGAGTTGAAATTTGCCAGGGAGTAGGTAATAAGCCAATCTGCTAGTTTTTCTGAATCAGGGTTTCCAACAATTGGGGAGCAAACTCTCTGGTATTTTTGGGTACAGTCAATGTCCTTGCTATCCTCAAGCTTACCCTTTGAGGACAACATCGAGACCTTCTCCAACGACGAGGCTAAGGCTGTGATTGAGCAGGACTGTCCTGGCATCTGGAGAGTCAGTCAGCACTGTTCAGGTTTGGGGTTTAGGGGAGTTCAACTGGATCAACGGCTTCAGGGTCATTGTCATTGCTCTTGAAGGGTAAGCATAAGTATGCTTGTGAAAGCTATGGTATACTTGCGATTGTTCCTCATAACTTTTGGCATGCAAGGTGAATCGTCCATCAACAGCAGTGCCCAAATAAAGTTCAGCATGGTAAGTGTGCTATCTGTAAGAATGGTGATGGTCATGATGTAGTTTCAATAAGTAAGGATCCCCCAGATGATGGTCTCCACGCGATTTCGTGCCTAGGGTCTTTTTCTTTGCTGTGCAGAAAAGCGCAGATGCACGTGCCCTCCTGTAATGGCATACTAGGATCCGATACAGTTGTTGTTCGGGCAACAAGAGGTTAAGATCAGTGTCCGTAGGGGTCCTGAAATTCTCACGGAACATGTTGAGTCTGTGTTTTTAGGGCCCTTTGTGAACCGTCCCGTCTTCAGACTGAATGGAGAAGGTCTTCATGTGCCCGGCTTAGGTTTCTGGGTGCGTTGCCGCAGGTGCTATGGTATTTCAACACCACAGGACTTTTGCACCAAGTCCTCCAGTGGCGGCACTTGCATATTATGCCAAAAAGCCGTCATCTACAACAGTCAGGATGGACTTGGAGGGATTCTCTTTGCATGATTTGCCAGACGTTCAGGATTGAGGAAAAGTAATATATGGGTTGTCAGAGCCTTTGTAATGTGAGTATAATTCTGGCCATTCGGGGCACGAAGGGGGCCCGCGTCTGCTCTCACGAGGAGCTCGGAAAGCCAGTGTCAGAGCTCTTCGCCTCCTTCAGCGAAGCGCCTGGGCTGCCTAAAATGCTTCCTCGCAGCTCCGCAACAGCAGGTAGCATTTCAACCAGTCCCTTTGCCTGTCACCCTCTAACCTGAGATAATTCTTGCGCACCCACAGTAGTCCATGGGCCATCCGTAAAGAAAAACAGATGGCACAGCGTAGGGGAAGGCACAGAATCTTACTTGTTTCATGCGAAGAGTAGACTTCAATCTAAGGCCGTTATGCCAGTGTTCTCTAGAGGACCTACAGTTGTTCTGTGGTGGTGATAGGAAGTCCTCCCTTCGTCAGATAGCTCCGGATGCATAAGCAGGCACTCAAGAGGTGACTCTTACGTCAAGCCCTAGTACAAGAATCTCAGCTAAATTACATGGGTGGTTATCAAAAGTATGGTCTCTTCTTGGAACCCTATGATACTACGGCACCTAATATTTAGGGTCCCCAAAGACGGACCATAATTTTGACAACCACCCAAATAGCTCTTCTCCCAACCCCCACTTGACCCCTAAACCCTAAACCCTAAACCCTAAACCCTAAACCCTAGACCTGCTACTTCTGAACTCTTGGCATCCCTGGGATGAAGCCTTATGTAATGGGAGGTCAATGATAACATGGGGGTTTCCCATAATAAGGGTTTAGGGTTTAGGGTTTAGGGGGGGGGGTCCCCATAATAAGGAATATAGTATATTGGGGTATATTGGGGTCCCCCCATTTTGGGAAACTACCATCTAAACAAAGTCTACTTCCTGTCATAGCCATATTAAGGAACATAGGGAGCTTAGGAGAAGAATAGCGCTGACCTTCAATCCACCTAAAACCCTAGACGGGCCCAGTTTCCATTTCCTTTTCCGCTTGATCTTCTGTGAACCTTAACCCAGAACCCATCACACCCCTACAACCCCCCTGAAACCGCAAATCTCTGAACCTTAATCTCTAAACACTAAACCTTAGCCCCTAAATCCTAAGCCGCAAACTCTAAACCCTAAATCCTAAACCCTAAATTCTAAACCTTAAATCCTAAACCCTAAATCCTAATCCTCAAAATCGACGCCTACGTCATACAGCCCCTCCCCATGCACCTGAGGAGCCCATCGCAGCAGCCTCCCTGGCACAGGCAAAATCGTCCGTAGGTTGGTTGGGAATCTAAGGTTTAAGGTTGCGGGTTTCGGGTATTGGATTTAGATGCTTAAAGGTTTTGGATCTAGGGTTTAGACATTTAGCGTTCAGGCTTTGGGTTTTGGATTTAGGCTTCAAGGGCAATATCAGAAAGCTAAAGCTTCTAGGGAATGATGAAAGAGCACCTATCATAGTATTCGCCAACATTGTAAGCGTAGTAACATTATATAATCCCTAGATAAGCCCTATATAATCCCTATAATCCCTGTAGTTTCCATTTTATTTTCCATTATCCCAATATATCCCCAACATTAATCCAAGCGACTTTAGCGTTTATGGCCAGTTAGGGCTCAGCTTTAGGGCCGTTTAGGACATGGAGGGCATCGTGGAGCAGCAAGATATGTGCGAGCCATGGTGATCAACTAATAGTTTAGTAGCTGGGTGGAGTAGGGTTTCTGCAGAGGTGCGCGCAGAACGGCGTGGGTGTTTTAGGGTCTGAGGCTGAGGGTGTTGGGCTGAAGCTTAACAGACCAACAGCCATCGGTTGCGATCTAGGGGTCTGAGAACCTGGTGTTTTTGAGGCCTTCGCTCTCGGAAAGCTTCCCTTCCCGTGCTCTCTTCCCAACTTGAGAAGGATTTTTTGGACACCTTGGAACAGAGCCCGGCAGCGTTTAATCCAGCAAGCATGGGGCTTCTTATGCATGCTGGAAGCCCAGGGTCCTATATTAACCGGCTCAGCAAGCCTAATGTGTGCTTCTTACATCAGCGTGTCTTTATACGTCTCACCGCATTGCACGTAAGGTTTAAGTTTCAGGGGTACCTAAAGGTGAAACAACCTTCCTGCCCAACAGAGACCCTGAGCTTAAAGCCTGTCGCCAGCCCGAAGCTCGCGAGATGCCATACCCAGACCCCTGGGAGGATCTAAAAATTAGATCCCCTATATAAACCCATTATAACCCCTACATAATCTTTATATAATTCCCCCTATGGTTCTAGGGGATCTATTTTTTAGATCCTTTTGGGGGTCTGGGTAGTGCTGCCACAGGTCTATCGTGCCACCCTCCACACCGGTGAGGAAGTGGCAGTGAAAGTCCAGAGGCCCAGTCATGAACAGTCGTCCGAAACATGTTGTCCTCAGAGCCTGGTTCAAAGCATTTTGCTCCCTCACTTCATTCCGGTTTGAGCATTATGCGTCGAAAGGATCAGTGTCTCTAAGGCTTTAGGGCTTAAATTCTGGGTAGGTATCGACATGTAGGCTTCTTGCCATGAGCGTACGGTTTCTTTCAGGTGGGTTTTTCGGGTTTGGACTCCTGATGTCGCACCGGCTACGAGCTGTTAAGTTGAATCGTTCCGGTTTAGGATTTAGGGTTTGCCCGGCATGTATGTAGACTCTTACCAAACCATGTTTAGATGCCTCTACGTCAGGCCCTTGCAGTCGGAGTCTCCTTCTTCAGCACTAACCTACCTCAGTCCAAGTTGTTGTCTTGCTGAAGAGGTAGACTTGCCTAGTGTAAGGCCACACACCGAAAGCAACAGTTCTCCGCCAGACCGCATCAGTTGCCAATATGTGAGTGTCACAACATTATACAGTCCATAGCGGGCAGCCCATAATCTCCTCTTGAGTTCCTACATGGTAGTTTCCCTACACAGGCGGACCCTAGACCCCAAATAATCTGTTGTCCTTAATAGAGGGACCCCCCAAAAATTGTACCCCTGATTTTGGGAAAGTCGTAGAGGCCCCAGCTTTATCAGGATTTGACAGATCTCCATGTAGCCCAGTGTCAGCTATGCTGTACCTTGTACCAGACCCGGCTCACCTGTTCCCTTGACCCAGGAATCAGCTTGGGTATAAGGTTTGGGGTTTAGGGTTTGTGGTTTTGGGTTTAGGGCTTAGAGTTTGGGGTTGCGGCTAGGGTTTATGGTTCCGGGCTTCGGGTATGGGGTATCCAACTTTGTCTCCTTGTGTCCCATAGTTCTTCGCACAACAGCTCTCAAAAAGGTAAAACCTGAGTACGTATCCCTAGATCTCTATACATCCCTGTACATCCCCGTATATCTCTTTTAGTCCTTTTCCAACCTAGATTCAGATAGATGCCTTAACCAAGCAGCCTTCGTGCTTTCGTGGAGGCCAGGGGCGTTGAGCACAATTTCCAAGGCTGCCTGCATGTAGGGTTCTGGGGGTTATACGGGGATACATCGGGAAGGGTTAAGGGTTTAGGGACTAGGGTTTAGGGATTCGTGTTTTGGGTTGTTCTAGAAGGTTCTTGTACGGAAGGGTCCATGGGGAACGCACGGGATCCTAAACAAAAAGGGAACCTATCTGTTGGCCATTCCGGGGAGAGGTATTCTACCATGTGAGCATTTGGAATGCCTATTTGAATGGTTCATGGGACTGAGTAGATTCATAGAGGTTCCTGCTTGGAGCAGAGAGTTAGCTGGAAACAAAGATAAAACATGAAATGGCGACTGAGTTTATATGGCGGTTTATAGGGTACGCAGTCTAGAAATATGGGCAGTTAGAAGCTCGTTTCGCAGGAAGGGCTCAGGGAGGGTCAAGTCGTGTCTCTCAAGGAATGCTCCGCTTATTGCAGTTGAACTATTCTGAGTTGCCACTTCTTAGATTTAGGGGAACACAGCGCTGTCCAGGAACAAGTGCTTGTAGTCAAGTAGATAGAATATGGCTTTGGGTATATTACAAGTAGATCCCCATATACCCCATATCCTATCTACTTAAGGGGAACTATGTTCTTCCTGCTGAACTTCTGTCCACAACTCAAAGGGCTTCAGCTTTAGGACGGTCGCACCTCTTCAAACCAGGGTTTAGGGTTTAGGGTTTAGGGTTTGAAGGCAAACCCTTGGGCCTCAAACCCTCCCCGCTTCATAGCATCGCCACTGCCCCGAAAATCATGTCAAGTGTATCATGAATACCGGGTGGCCTAGCTTTAAGACTTTTCAGTGTCAGAAGCATTGGCGGACACTATGCTGTATGCATTAGGAATACTTCTTGGACGAGGTATCCTGACCGGACCATTTTATAAGACAACGTGTTTCCGGAAAGGACTTAGCTACCGAAAAATGGATATTGCGAAATATACTTCCTGGTACTTCTGAGCATTCAGCCGCACAGGAATGGTCCTCAGGGTCCTCTCAACAAGATTGAAAGCAGGATCTCTACGTTCTTCGCCGCCTGGCTGACGTCATGCAGCCGCTCATCAGGCGGTTCACCGCGGATGAGACTGTCTGCTGCTCAGATTGCTTCGCATCGGTCAAGCGACCAATGAAGAAAGAGGTAGTTACGATATCATCTTACCCCAAAAAGCTTGTTTTGCAGGAGCAGCCAGGACCTCCGATTCTCTTGTGGCTCTTGCTTCTCACAGACGGCTGGCGGATCGCAGTGTTCAACCTAGACGTTTCGTTGTTCGTCTTGTTCTTACACCAGATCTGGATCTCATGCTGGCGTGTTTAGGCTTAACACTCAACAACGCCTCCGTTGCTAGCTGGGGTTTATTTCTGCTTTCAGTGAAGCAACAGCATTACTAGACTAGATCCAATGCACAATTCAAACGTGCGTATCCTTCACTTGAAGAAGTCGTTGTGCCCCAACAAGTACCTAATCCTACAATGGGGTTCGTGTCCAAATGGAACTGAGCCTGAAACCTATAAAGCCCTAGATCCCAAAACACCCTCAACCCTAAACCCTAAATCCTGAACCCCAAATCCTAAACTGCGTAGTTGGGAGATTCTGGTACACGCCACATGCAGGTCCCAACACGGAACCTCCGTACAGTCCCTAGTTTACCCAATATAGTAGTCGGGTCATGCTGCGGGTTCCTGTTTTTAAACTTCTTAATGGAGCCCTGAGCCCTAAACCCAAAGTGATTGGCCAAGGATTACATTGCTCTGACGGAAACCTTCGCCGAGGGTCTTTACACGGAGCTCCGGGCTCCAAAAAAGCAGCTCCTCAAAAGGCTTAGGCTTTCTTGGAGTTCGAGGTTTCTGTTCTGAGGTTGTGTAGTGAGCATGTTGCGATTCTCAGCTGTTTCTGGGCTTCCTGTTGCAACTAGGGAGAGGCGTTTGCATGTGTCTGAAGATCAGTGGTTCCCTTCTGCCTTGCAATTTGCAGGTCTATGATATCTAACGTATGGGGCATTTTGGACTGGTGGTATTGCTATTTTTCCGAAATTCCGTTTCCTGTCTGTCTAGATGGGTTTTCGTGTAGATTGGCACCATGGTTTTTCGAAAGAATCCCAGAGGACTGGACTCCTTTTCAGCCCCCAAGATCCACGCGCATCAGCCATATCAATCGGAAAACTGCGGGCTCAAGGCCTGAATACTTATCTTGGCGCCTGCATTTCACCCCTAGAAACCTCTCCCAGTGTAAGTATGCTATGCTTACTGGTGCTCAGTAGGGCATAAGGGAGTATAATCCCTGTGAAATTTCTATACCATCTCTGTGCCCTTATTCCCGACTAATCTCACACCCGACACCCTAAACCCCACACCCTCTACCTTAAACCCTCAACCCTAAACTATACCTATACGCCCACATCATATATGTATATATCTATCTATCTATCTATCTATATCTATATTTATATCTATATATATATATAATTTTGTCATTCCTAGCCGCAGTAAGCTCTGCCAGGAGCTGGACTTCAGGAATGAGGCGCTGAACGCACTGCGCATGGAAGAGCTTCTGCGAGAGAGCCTGCAGCCTGAGGCTTTGGAAAGGACGGCTCCTTTGGGGCTAGGGTTTAGGGTTTAGGGGCTACTGGAGATGGGTTACAGTAGTGGGGAATAGGGGAATATGAATATGTATGTAGGGTTTAGGGTGTGAGGCTTTGGAAAGGACGGCTCCTTTGAGGTTACCGGGGGGGAGGGGGGTTAGTGAGGGATAAGGGAATAAATATGGGGTTTATAGGGTTCAGCGGGGGTGGTTACTAGGGCAGAAGGGAATGTAGCATAGGATTTAGGGTTAGGAACCTACAGTAATACTGCATTTTAATTGTCCCAGAGATTCGGAGAAAGAACCATGAAACTTATGCTCTACAGTTACAGAAGCCCTAGAACCTGCATGCCAAACCTTCAACCCACTAACAGGACTGTGAGAGCCCTTAAAATGGAAGGACACTGTGCTGTAATATTCCCGGGCGTTCCCATACCGAAGCTTCAAAGGATTGTAGCTTTAGCCCAGTGTAGTCTGTATGCCAAGCCTTTCAGACCCCAAGCCAGAAAACCCAGACCCCAAACCCTAAACCGAAGCCTTCTAAGCCCACATAGAAGTTGCGAAGGATTGTCATCCCGACCCCGCTCATGTCGCTGACCAAGCGTCGCGTGATGCTTTCGCAGTGGGTCGCTGGGACATACAGGGCTTTGGGGTTTGGGGGACGGGGTTTTGTGTTTAGTTTCAGGGTCCAGGGTTTGGAGTCCAGGTTTTAGATTGTAGGCTTAAAGGTTTTAGGGTGTAGAGTTTAGAGTTTAGATTTTGGGGTTCAGCAACTCGAGTTAAGGCTTTGGAGCTTAGCGGCGAGGGTTCAGGACGTACGTTACGTACTCCATTAATGTTTGAATTGAGGGTCCAGTCATCCCACCTACAAACAGATTGCCTCGCGGGTTGAGGGTTGAGGTCCGCAGGATTCAGCATCTATGGGTTTAGCTTTTGTGGCAGCGACTTCGGTTGTAGGATTAGGCTGGAGCTTCTTGACTTGAAATTCAGGTGCATGGCCATGAAGGACCTAGAATTTCCTGGGAGGTCCATGGGGGTTTCAGGGTTCACATTCACGGTCGGCGGCTGCTGATCGGGGCTTATGGATGTAGTGTCCGGGGAGCGTTGCTTTGTGAGCAGACAGTCCAGAGGAGCAAGAAATCAGGTGGTCATCTCTGCAAGTGAACTGTCTGAAGCCCACTCCCTGGCAGATTATGCAGTTCAGGAGTTTTGACTGAAAGTTTTGGCCATAGCTTGCTTGGATGCTGCTGCTTCTACACAGCTTGTTGGCGATTTCTAAAAACCTTCAAGACCCCAAGCATACATAGGAGTACAAAGGGATGATTCGGGTCCCGTGAAGTATTCTTCCGGGATCACTTTGGGAAACTTCATATGGCTCTTTCTTGAGTGATCTTTATCTTTGCTCTGCCCTTCCAAGAAGCAAGTTGGCTTGTTACAAAACTTGGGAGTCTTGATCATTCAAGGGATCCTGGTAGTCTGCAAGAGACATGTTTAGGGTGTAGGGTTTAGGGTTTAATACTAATTTCATCCCCTAAGCCCTAAACATCCCTAAACCCTAAATACTAATTTCATTTTCAGAAAACATGTGTCGGCCAAAGCAAGGTTGAATGTGTTTGCGTGGGCTTCGGCTGTGATAAATTCACGTGCGAGTTCACCTTTGAAAGCGATTCAGATTCTTATGCTTGACAATCTCTGCATGATCCTGAGATACTTCAACAGATGACCTGATGACCTAATTTTGTTGCGTTGTAGAAGTTCCATGGGCAAAACACATTTGCACAAGAAGACATGACCCTAGCTTCACAAGCCCTGAAAGGCATTTTTCCAATTAGCCCTAAACCCTAGCCCCTCAACTTCAGACAGTAACTTTAAGCCATGTAGGACCTGAGTAGAGCTCATCAACCGCCGATAGTCAAGGTGAATGGCGTGAAGTTGAGCACGCTGCCTGCTCAGGACTCGGTGAAAGCTAGCAGCTTTACAGTCTAGGCTTTGGGCGGGGTCGGTAGCTGGTCCTGTGGTTTAGGGTTTAGGGATGTTGGGGTCTAGAGTTTGAAGTTTGTGGATGGTTCAGGCTCTAGAATGTCAGATGGGCCCCAGCTTGCGGCGAGTGCCGACGCCATGATGGCCACTGCACACACTTGGGATCTGAAGAAGTTTTTTTTGTAGCAGTGCCAATGAAATCACCCCTTAAACCTTAAACTTTGGGTACTGCCCCCTCCCCAGTAACAGTCTATATTAGGGGTCCTATTAAGAGCCATAGATAAACATATTATACTTATTATGCAACTGTTACTGAGGGGGGGGGGGCAGTACCCAAGCCCTAGGCCAGAACTCGCTAAGCCCTTGAACTCAACGACCTACATGCTGCTAGGCCTCGACCTCGAGGTTACAAGCCTAGAGGTTTAGGGTTTAGGGTTAGGGGTCTAAGGTTTAGGGTTTAGGGTTTGGGGTATGGGGTTTAGGGTTTAGGGTATAGGGTTTAGGGTTTTAGGGGTCCCCCCTATACACCCCCAAAGATTTGCATCTCCATGGTAGTAACCCACTAAATTCACACCCCAATTTGGGAAACGCCGATCTAATGTGAGCTGTCTAACCTCCTAAAGGGGGGGGATTTTGGGGATTATATAGGGGGTCAATGTAAGGGTCATTAAGGGAGGTACCGGGAGTTTAGACCACAGCTCATATTATTATAGCCCCCCATATATAGCCTGCTAGAATGTAGTCGCCGTTTCCATTTTCTTTTCCAGTATCCCTATACAACCCCAATATACTCCGACTATGGCTCATATGCCTAAACCTTAAACCCCAAACCCCAAAATCCCAAGCCCCAAACCCTAAACGGTGGTGGTCATGACTATCCTAATTCTTTGACATACCCTACACCCTAAATCCTCAACTGCATATGATGCTGTGGCTGACCCTGACTTCCAAATGGCATGTGAGCTATAATCTAAACTCTTAGCATCCTCCTTACTAACCCTATAAAACTCCCATCTATAATCCCCTATAGAATCCCTTTTGAGGAGTTTAGGCTATAGCTCAGGGCTCATGTGGAGGTGCTCAAAGAACCCTGTGCAAGGTCTCCCTGCCAAGGTCTGAAAAGGGTAAGTTTGGAGGTCCGGTAAGAATCCGATCCTTCTGGCTTTTGAGGTATTGGATAGGGATAACGGGTACAAAAGTGGAATAAACAAGTAAAGGAAACCAAACACACACACACACACATATATATATATAACCTCTTGAAACCTACCCCTGGGATTCAAAGAAGCAGAGTCCACTCTAAACCTTAAACCCCAAACCCTAAACTTTAAACCTGAAACCCCAAACCCTAAACCCTAAACACTGAACCCTAAACCCTGCAGAGGAGATCCGGGAGCTCATATCTATCGGCCAGGCAGCGGGCCCCTGGGTGTTTCCACTGTCATTAGGGTAGAGGATGGTTGGGGTGTAGGGTTTAGGGTTTAGGATTTAGGGTTTAGGGTCTAGGATTTAGGGTTCAGGATTTAGGGTTTAGGGTTTGGGGTTTAGGGGGATTGGGGGGAAATATCGTTCAGCCGAAATTTTCTCAAAGCAAGCTCTAAGGGACCCTGAAATAGGGACACCAGAATCCTCAACGAAAAGAATCCCTGATATGCCAAGGGCTCTTAGTGGCCCAAGATGTCGAGGAACACTCAGTTGCAGAGGTCTTGAGGTGGAAGGATCTCGGGTTTAGGCTGTGACCAGGTTTTAGCTTCTGGTTTCATGTTACTACTTAACATTTCTATTCTTACTCTTGTTACATTATGATTACTATTCTTTATTACTATTATATTGGAATGGGTGTGAGTATGTTGCCTTAGTCCAGGGCTAACTGGTCCGTCATGTCCCCATCAGCCCGTGGGAGTTTGAAAGAGTGGACGCCTCATGGATGCGCATTCTAAGTATTTCTTTTACGTTTTCCTTCCGTTTGAAAACTGCACTAAGAACGAGGCGGCTGAACATCGTAAGCCAGTCTTGCATATGCCAGCCCTGTATGCGACCTTACTTATTGCCCGTGAACAGGAAGTCTTCCTCACACAGCTCCTGGACATCGGCTTTTTCCATGGCGACCCGCATCCCGGGAACTTGCTGAAGATCACAGAAGGCATTCTACTGGGATTCTACCCGCTTTGGCCTCTTTGTGGGGTGTCCGCATGTCTATTAAGGTTCTTATGGCATGGCTACGCTTCTTCCTTCCTTCTTCTCATGCGGGCTCTCATTTTGGTGAGCCACTCCCCAGTGTGTGAGGTTGACAGGTTTCAGCTTGGAGGTGAGAAATTGCACGACAGGGCCGTGGGCAGCTTGGGTATCTGAGTCTACAGCTTCCAGCGGTGTACCTGTTGTTTGCTTGCAGGGCGTGTAGCACAAGCCTAGCAACCACGAGCCAACATCTGAACCCCTAAGCCTATAACCCTAAACCCATTTTCTTTTCCATTACCCCAATAGATCCCCAATATATTCCCCCCCCAAACCCCTGGATCTGAAACCGTAGCCTCCGGCTCGAATTCTAAACTTGATGGGATCTTCCGAAACTAGAGAGCCCGATACCCCTTTAATTAGGAATATGCCCTCGGTGGTACTAAGGCCTCTAATGTGATTTCCTACACCCGCTCGAAGACCCTCAAAAATCCTGACCCGGAGGCCCAGACGCTGGCAAGCTTTGCCTGCTGGACTTCGGTCTGGTTGCGCAGGTGCTTGGGTTGCCATTTGGGTCTTTGCCTTGCTGTACTTAGTCTTCAACAAGCCACAATTTTGAGAAGTTAGCAGTTTTGTAAAGCGTGGAGTTGGGTGCCCTTGTATACTTAGGAGGGCTTAATGGCAAGTTGTAGCACGATTTCCAAGGAAGCAAGGATGCAGAATAAGCAACTATGCATGTTACAGACGAGGGCAAAAAGTCTTAATGCGGGATCCTGCAACGCTGACGACCCCCATGGACCTTGATGCCTTGAATTGCTTGTACTTCCACTACACCCTGACCATCTGCGATACTCCTGAAAGTTCTCACCCCAAAGTCATCAACTTTTCAGGATCCCTAATGGTTAGCAGAATACTATTCCTTGATGTAGGGTTATTCGGCTCCCTGACAAGGGGATCCATTGTTCTGGGAGAAGCCAGGGTTCCGGGTTCAGGTTGTCTAATTTCGGGTGTGCTATAGAATCTCAGATAATCAAGAAGATTGGCTCTGTAGGTGTACTTTACCGTGGTGATAGAACCCCAATATATATCATAATTATTCTATTATAGTAGTTTCCATTTTCTTTTCCATTATCCCAACAATCCTCAATATTTTCGTTGGAGCTCCTTGTGCTTCAATATCCACACCCAGGAGCTTTTTTCCCTGAAATTTGGGCTTTTGTTTGTGTCTGTGCGTCCTCTTGGTCCTCCGTGTCGCGCCCCAAATTGTACCCCTCCAAATGCAGGGCTTGGAGCCAAAATCCGAAACCCTAAGTCCTAAACCAAACAGACCTCCGCATCATCAAGCTTCCTTTCCTGTGCATTTGTGCATTTGGGGATGCGGATTCCTGAGCAAAAAGCCACACAAACCCTATCCCTAAGCCCAGAACCCCGAAACTTAAGCCACATAAACGTTGACCTCCCCAGCCTTAAGCCCTAAATCCCAAGCCCCAAATCCAAACCCCGGGTCCCAAAACAACCTTAAGCCATGACAACTCCTGCATTTGCCGTTGAGGTCCCCAAGGAGGACAGGGAGCTCATTATTTCGGCTGTGGTCCACCTCGGAATCCTGGTAAGCTCAGTACAGCTGATAAGAACTGCTTTGGTAGGCTAAAGGTACGAGGGTGAGGGTCTAGGGTTTAGGATTGAGGTTTCAGGGTGAGGGGTTCAGTGCCTGTCAGTTTAGATTCAGCATCTAGCCTTTAGGCGAAGTCGTGCAGCCCTGCACTTGCAAGAAAGATTCCATCTCGTCCCCTCCAAACTGCCAGGAGGCATATAACATGCTTTAAACTTGAGATCTCCAATTTGAGACAGGCGCTTAGGAATGTGCATGCCATGAAGCTGAAACTCAAGCACCGAGAGCATCTTTAGGTCGACCCTACATCGCTTGCGTTCCATCTACTGCGTTGGGACTCCCCAAAGAGGGCCTAGGATTTCAGGGTTTTAGGGTTTAGGGCTTAGGGTTGAAGGGTTTGTTTAGGGTTTAGGGTTAATTTTCTGGAGCCCCTCACCCTAAACCCTAAACCCTGAATCAACAAATCCTACCCAGGCACACAGAACTGGGAGGCCCTGATTGCCGACTTCCAGCAGCTCCGCTTCCTTGCTCCAGACGTCGACCAGGCCAGAGATGCAAATTTCGTAGGTTTGGGATTAGGGTTTAGGGATGAGGGTTTAGGGATTAGGGTTGAGGGTTTAAAGGTTCAGGGTTTGGGGTTTAGGGTTTAGGATTTGGGGTTCAGTGGGGGGTCCAGGGTTGGAGTTGAGGGAGGGGTTTGGGTGTAGCTTTCCTCGGCTTTGCGGAGTCTGTTGACCTGGATTTTGATTTGATCTAATTAGGGCTTACGTTTGGAGACGAAGCTGAAGCAAGTAATTCATGTGGAGCTAGTAACAGACAGAAGGACAGGCGAAGTCGCAAACAGGCATGCATCGACAGCGACAACACGCACGTGAGAAACATGAGTCTTTACCGGCAATGTGCGCAAAAAAGATAGAAAACAACTTCGGGTCGGGCTTTATGGAAGCCATTATAGCGCTACAAGCAGGTTTGTGCTTGGCAATGCTACGTGCTGTTTGTGTTGTTGGACAGGGTTAGTTTCCGAAATTGTGGTCTGCGCACGCTGCTGCAAAAAAGAAGACTCCTGATAGTCGGGTTCTCAAGAAGGGACTGTGCTCTTGTCACCTACCTACATCGCGGATTCAACAAATGAAGTTACCTTGTTTGGTGAGGTTCTCCTCGTAGGTGTATAGTGCATTGGACAGCAATTTGGGCAACTATCGACCGATAATCCCCCTAAAGTAGATAGAATGTGGGATATATAGGGATCTTATCATAGTATACCCAAAGCCAGATTCTTTCTACTTAAGGGGGACTATAAACCCCAAGTCTTCTAAAGCCATGAACAAATCTCCAGGCTGCTCTGGTTCCGATCCTCCAGCGGGTCCTGGGTCCCTATCTCCGGGGCGGCGGTGCCCAGGCCCTTGCGGGGGCAATAGTTTAGTTCAGGTAGGGATTAGTATTGAAGGATTTGGGTGTTGAGTTTCCAGAGTAGTTAGGTTGGAGACTTTACGTCCAGGGTGAGGGTGTAGTAGATTTTCAGTGGAGAGCTCTAGGTTTTTTGGGGACAAGGTTTACAGTTTAGGATTGGCCCGCTCCGTGCTTGAGACCTGGGAAGTGTAAGGTTGGGGGAGTTTCTCTGTCCAACACGACGTAGATTTGAAGAAGGGTTTAGGGTTTAGGGTTTAGGAGTAATGTGCGGTTATTTTATCGGACAAAGTCACCGAGCAGGACTATCCATTTGGTGTCTTGGACTTTGAAATTCTGTTTCTGTTTTATCTTGAATCTTGCTGCTAGGCTTTCATTTCAGTCCGGAGGCTTGTACAGCCCCCTGCGATTCATGAAAGCGGTAGTCCTAGGTCGGTCGGGCATTTAGTTAACTTAGCTGGACTTAGCTGGGTACCCTAAACCCCAATAGAAACTAAACCCTATGCAGGCCTTCAAGAACGCCAACTTCCAGGCGCTGACGCAGGACCGAGCCACTGGGTAGGGTTCAGGGTTTAGGCTTTAGGGTTGAGGGTTTAGGGTTTAGGGTGTGTTGCAGATTGCAAGATGAGCTAACTCATGATCCTTCGAGGATCACCCAAGCCTCCCTATTGGCCTATTGGCCATACAAAAGACTTCAACCTCACAAATAAGACACGCATCAGTTACACTCCTGGCATTCTGGAGGTCCAGGTAAGGCGCAAAGGTATTTGCTGCTTGGTTTTGGACTTTCGGTTTGTGCGCTCAGCGCATGGCAAGCTGTGATAACGTTCGTGCGATTGGAGAGGAAGGGGTACAGCAGGCTGGATTTTTCAGGATACAGGCATGCCAAGAAGGTACAGAATTTTCAGAATAACTCGTATAAATATACCCAAAGCCATATTCTATCTACTTAAGGGAGACTATAACCCCAATATATACCCTTTTATAATGAGGTAGTTTCCATTTTCTTTTCCATTATCCCTATATAACCCCTGGATTCTTGGGACGCTGGGCTCCAGGGTCGCGAAGTGCAAGCTGCGGTACCTTCGGTAGGTTCAGAGGTTTAGTGTTGACACAAGATTGTCCTGGGTGTGTACTGTTAATGTGTGTGAGGCTAAGCTAGCAACCTGTAGGCATAAGTGCAGTTAATGGGAACGTCTATTTGGGGTTTAGGGTTTAGGGTTTGGGGTTTAGGGTTTAGGGTAAAAGTTAGGATCCCGATTATAATCCCTATTAAGGGGAGGAGCTTTATGAATCCAGGGATCTGGGTTAAGAATGAATGCGGGAACCTTGGCAGGGTCCCATGAGGAAGCAACACCAGACCAGGGTTCAGGTTGGCAGTTAGGGTTTAGGGTTTAGGGTTGGGGTTGTGATGGTTAAGGGTCGTATGTTGGTTACATAGGGGTTATATACGGATAATGGAAAAGAAAATGGAAGCTACCATAGGGTTGTATAAGGGGTTATACAAAAGGGTTTTGGGTCAAAGGAAGATGAAGATGTAGGACGTGTGCAGCATCCGTAGCTGTGCAGGATCTGTTGAAGGTGAATCTGGAGGTGAAGTTCTCGATCCCACCCTACGTGTCGCTGTTGGCGCGATCAGTGGCCACGCTCGAGGGTGTCGCGCTGCAGGGCGACCCTCAGTACCAGATTGTGGCTATGGCCTACCCCTTCGTGGTGCGTCGCTTACTGCAAAACTCGAACCGCAGGTCTTTCGCGGCCTTGCGCGAGCTCCTCTACGACCCTCAGACGCGGCGCATGCGGCCACAGCGTTTGGCTACCCTGCTGCAGGCCTCCCTGGGTGTTGTGGCAGGTGCCAGCGAGGGCACCAGGAGTGGCTTCATTGACTTCGACGCCGTGCCCGAGGAGGGCGCACCTGTAAAAGATGTGGTTCGCTTCCTACTGTCCCCGGCGGCCAGCAACTTGCGGCCCCTCCTCAATGCAGAGCTCGCCTACGGCCTGGACTTGACGCTCCGCCGCACGGGGCGCCGCCTTCGGACCACGCTGCAGGACCTGTTGCAGCCAAGGCCTGTTCTTTTGTCGTTGTTTAGGGTTTAGGGTTTCTTATTGCTATTAACTAGAATAAGCATCATTACTGTTATTGTTATTTTATTACTATTATCCCCAATATCCTGTGCATTTCTGCGCGGCGCGTGGTGAATCCTGACATTGCTTGCTTAATGATCCCTGCTTGGCAGGCTGCCTCTGTTGGGTCGCCTGCCCACGCTCCCGGCTCCTCCGCTCCTAGTGCCAGTGCCACGCAACGTAGAGGGGGCGGGCGCAGAGCTCTTCGACAAGGGCCTTGCAGTGTTGCCGGCGGAGGACATCTTTGAGGCGGTGCTGCCAGCATTGGGTACTGCAGAGGATGTGGACTTCGGGACTTTCCGTGATGCCTTCCAGGCTGGGCTATTAGACCTTAAGGGTACCTTAGTCTACCCTTATTATGGTCCTATTTAAAGCCTAAATGGTGGTTTATATAGGGAATAGTGCCACAATGGCCTTAAATTGGGAATTGAAATTATTTCAAATTACCCTCTTCCAGGGCCTGGGCATCGACATCGGCGACATCGAGGACCTGGTGCCTGGGGTGCTTCGGGCTGCCATGCGCGCCGTCCTGGGCAACGGCGAGGGTGCCGAGCTAGCAGAGGCCAAGCCTTTCTACAACAAATATTTATGTACATATAGATATAAACGCATATATATATATATATATATTGGGGTTATATAGCGGCTATATAGGGATTATATCAGGATAGGGGGTATATAGGAGCACTGATCAGAAGCTATTCCAGTATTGGGTCTCAAGCAGAACAAGAAGTAAGAGAGCGTTGCGACAGACTAGGACCTTCTTGTTTGTGTGAGGCTCTTCGCCAAGCCCTTGGCGAGGAGTCAAGGCCGGGGCAAGTGCACAGAGCTTTTGGCAATGACAGGAATAGCGGCAGCGACCATGGACGATTGTGATTAACATGAACGGTGCACATGTGTATCAGGCACTAGAGGGCCAGCAAGCGTAACAGGAGTTGCAAGTTTCCAGTGAAGGCTGATAGCTTGCCATTAACCCCAGCATCAAAATCTTGATTTGTTTCTTGAATGGTTGATTGATTGATCGATCGATCGATCCATCGATTGATTGATTGATTGATTGGTTGGTTGGTTGATTGAATGATGATGATGATGATGACGATGATGATCACCATCATCGTCATCATCAACCTCGGCGCCATCAGAGCAATAACATGACGGCTTCTTACATGTCTGTATGCACCTGTAGTTTAACAAGCCATCGTCACAACAGCACCATCATAATATGTAGCTATGATAGCGTCAAATTTGAAGATCATGCTGCCCTACCTTACTCTGGCCAGGGATACGCTTGCCAACGAAGTGGTGGCCTCCATTGCAGAAGAGCTGCTGCGCACCTGGCGTGCGCGCTTAGCAGCTATGGATGCCTTGCGATGAGTGGAATGGCTGGGCAGGGCTGGATACAGCTCAATGGTTCTTAATTACAGTCGGGTTGATAGAGGAATGACCCTAATGTACCAATCCATTCCGACATGTATTACAAGAGGATACCAGATGGAAATAAAATTGGCTAGCTAGCCCGGCAACAATCAACTTTCAGTGCCTGCGTCCAATCCTTCATTTTCATCTTTTCCGAAGTGGAGCTCTGTCTCTCTCACGTATCCCTTATACCTCTCGTTGTCTTTGCTTCAGCTAGAAGCAGATTAGTGCCACAAATTTTCATGCTGCAGCGACTCCAACAGGATGCAGGCTTTCATTAGATGATGGCCTGAAGGTTTTTCGCGCTGCGCCTGCATCTATGCGCCTGTGGCAGCTGTTCCATTGAATGGACACAGCTTCGCAAGGTGTACCATTGTTGACTGTTTAAGGTATGTGCTAGGACTTTTCGGTGGCGGACAAGCCGCCCACAAGCTGTCGCAGCACAGAGGCTTAGGCTGTAATTGGTGGTCCAGGGTGGTTACAACCTACTTCAGGCCTAGTCGTAACTAGACAAGACTGTGTTCAAAAGTTGCAGCTGTTGTCAAACTACTAGAAAGTTTATCATCATCCAGGACCTCCAGGTAGGCAAGACCAAGGCGAGAAAGACTGCTTGGGGTTGCTGCAGAGCTAGCTGTGTTTGAACATGTACCAGTATTCAAGTCACGAAGCTAGGCGACCTCAGTCCCAGGACAAGATGTTCCTCAACTGAAGGACCCCTAAGTAGATAGAATATTAGGGTCATATTGGGGTTATATAGGGGTGATATAGGGATAATGGAGAAGAAAATGGAAACTACTATTTAGGGTTTAGGGTTTTTTTGGTCTAAGCACATATCCATCTTTCCTGGCATGCTCTCATCTGAAGAGGCAGGGGTACCATTGATCTTCGCGGAACCTTCTCTTCGCTTGCTGACGTCACCTTACTGGGTTGCTGTTAAGGAACTTAAACTAAGTTACTATATTGGGGAAACCCCATTATTTACTATATAAACCCATTATGGTAACTTAATTTAAGTCCCTTAACAGCAACCCAGCTTATTGATGCGTTTTGGGCCTCCTCAAAAGCTCTGGGCTCCCATTTGAGTTTCAGAAATGCCCTGAAAAGATTCGATTTAAGGATGTTCCACATATACCTCGAGTGAGGGCTGTAGCTAAGGGCGCTTAAGACCAAGCCCTGGAAGCCTGAGACTCGTCTGTGCTCAAAGATGTAGATTGAAGTCCCGTCTACAAAGTGGCAGCTACTTTTTCGGGTTAAGAGTTGAGTGGTATTACCCCAATAATGGAGAATCAAACCGAAAGGAAATGAACAAATGTGGGAGCCGGGTTGATCTAGGGTCTTGGAAGCTGGCAGAACAGCGCTACCTTGTCAAGGGTTATCTGTAAGGGTCGGGTCAACAAGTTAAGCGCCGCGTTGGCACATGGTACCGCGCACCTCTATTCGCGAACCCGGCCACCATGAACTCCCAAACCCCCAAAAGCCCAGACCCTAAACCCTAAACCCTGCTATCTATGCAAATCCAGCCCCTCAGGCACGAATACATCAAATCAGTCTTAAAGGGCATTCAACACCCAATAATGTAGACCCATGATTAATAAAGGGTATATTGGGGTTCTATAGGGGCAATGGTTGAGGGCTCAGGCTGGGGTAGTTTATCGAAATAATCTCTTTAGAATCAGTAGCAAGGACTCCCAGAATCCCCTCACAGCCTCCGCATATCCCCATCAAGCCTTCACGCGCATTCATCGATGCAATTCTAATTCGAGGCGATTTGGAGCAACGGAGCCTTCCGTCGATGAAGTCAAGTAACACGGTCGGGCGGCAGCGGAACGTGCAGCACACAAGAAAAGTGGCTGGAGCTTGATAGCAATGCGTGTGGGGCTTTGCTTGTAGGATATGTGAGGGGAACCCGATAATCTCTACTTCAGGAACTGGACTCCGGGCGGCCATGCTTTGTATAGGGATTAGGGCGTAGAGATTAGGGTTTAGGGGATACTCCTCCATGAGTGGAGAATGAAATGGACTAGAAACTGAAACATGACACGGACGCTGGGGTTTGTAAGTCTTTATCGGGATGAGGGTCCAGCAAGCCTTGACCGATACTCCTCAGAGATGCGGGGCGCGGGTTTAGGGTTTAGGCTCCTAACCCTAAACCCTAACTCCTAAACCCTGATCAACGCCCCAACACTACACCCCCTCAATTGCGGGTCGCATCTGGGAGCAAGTTTTGGCGCGAGCTCATGGCATGGTAGGTATTAACTAAGCAACTCATACGAATATTAAACACACCCACCCCCAAAATAGAATTTCCCGCACGAGAGATCTTATATATTGGGGCACAAAGGGATTATTCCCAAACATAACCGACATAACCCCTGTATAGCCCTAATTTCCATTTCATCTCCATCTAATTTTCCATTTGGTTCTCCACTATCGACGTCATATCCAATGATTGATTCTGGCATGAGGCGGTTCCTTGGCAGTGCAAGAGCCATGAGAAGTAATAAGGAGGTGGGAGTTAAGGTTCTGTCGCCTGAAGTCGGATTTTTACAGGGGCTTTATAGAGATTATACAGGGGTGTGCTGGGGATTATATAGGGTTACATGGGATTCTGTAGGCATTATGTAGGTGTTTTGGAGATTACCCCCCCAACAGATGAGAAAGAACATGGAAATCAAATAGAAATTTGGGGTTATCTAGGGGTTTATATGGATTTGGTTTATGGCTCTTTATTATGTTTTTGGTGGGAACTTTTTGCTCCCTAGGAAAAGGGATGAGGTATATATTGGGTGTCCAATTCGGGGGACCATAAAGTCACATCCCATCATCATTCTGTCATAGTCCTGCGGGAACAGCAAAGAGGTTTTGTTGCAAATTCGCGTTGACAGCGGATGGGATGTCAAAAGAGCATGTAGGTTCCTGTGTAGGTTGGGGCAGTGTTGTTTCGGACTTTCAGCGCTCAAGGGATCATAGGATTTGTGGTTCCTCTGTTTTCGGTCTTTTGTGCCGTTTAGTGTCTTGTACTTGGGATGGGAGCCCCTTGACGATAGCCCAGGACACTGAAGCCCGCTATGCGTAGCTGAAGATGTTAGTAAGCCCATCTAATTTTGAACCACACCTGTGGGGTCTGACGGCTTATGTCCTGAATCCAAAGGTTAGTGGCTTGCACGGCATGTTTCTGAAACCGAACTTGCTCAAATCAGCCCTGCCACAGTGTTACTTTGCTACACAAAATTATGCATGTACGGTTCATGTGTTCAAATAGCACCCTCAGAAACTGGGCTGGGGGCAACGACGCATGCTTCAAGTGACAGACGGACAGACATATTCACCCTCCAAGCCCTGAGGCTTCAACTCCCCGAGTTCCCAGGATCTTCTACTTCCCTTTCTTGACTCAGCACCTAGAACGTCGGAAAAAAGCCTCCGCATAGCCAACTGCGAGCCATTCATGCGCCTGAAACACCATGAGTGAATCTCAAGCTCCTGGGCTCAACACATGCGGGATACAGGACATAGGGTTTAGGGTTTAGGGTTTAGGGTTCCAGAAAATGCGCGCCATGATGTGCTGTGCGGAAATTGTACGTTAGGACACCTGTTATTGTGAGTTGTGCATGAACACACCATGCTGAAGCGCTACTGCTTTTTTCCGTTTGCTGAGGGTCCTTCACACTTTGTGTTCAGGAACCACAAGCAGCTCAACTCCAGCAGCCTTACTTGTTGTTTACTTGCCGTAACTCTTCTGAAGCAGGTCTTTTCCACATGCGGTATTTCTTTGCGGGCTTGGCAGGCTTCCTTTAGAGCTTTTGTGAGTTCATCGATGACGCGCAATCGGTTGTCGTTTTGGCGGTGGCATAATTCTCCCTCTGCAGATGAAGTCTTACGCCTGTCTTCTTCAAGCAGGGGTCGCTGTAAGAGGGGATCTTGACCATCAGAACATTTCTTTTGAACAACTGCTTTGGCTACACATCTCAACCTCTACATAAAGCCAAAGCGCGGCCTAGGAATTCACACCGTGCGGTTTCAGCTAACAACACAACGAATGAAAGCCTGCTGAAGAAGCCACGGATCGAGACTGGGACGCTTTGGATGAAGTGTTACGGGACTAGGATGGGCAGGGTTTTCAGGTATGTTGTACGTCTTGGGGGTGAAAGGTGCGGCATAAAGAATAAAAAGGGACACTTGTTCTTATTTCTTCGCTATACGTGTTCTTTTCAGCGGTGGAGTTGCAAG